TTTTTTTTGTTTTTTTTTTTTTTTTTTTTGCGTGAGTCTGTTGTGTTTGGAAGGACTTGAAAGTCTGGTAGCTCTAATTAGCTCATTACCTGTCCCATTCAGTGGTCTGCCACATTCAGATCCATCTTCTTCATACTCTGATGCCTTCACACATGACTCTGGACACACAGCACAAGAAACATGTCAGTGAAATCTCAACCATAGACACATTCTGCATTTCTTCCCATTACATCTCTGTTCTCATCACCTTGGCTCTCTGGTAGGTCCTCCTCAACTTCATCATCTGAGATTGGTACCACATTTCTGGGCTCTTCAGGTGCTAAATGGTCCACATTTGCCAGTAATTCCTCAGATTCTGCAGCAGGCTGCTCCTCAGGTTCATCCTCAGACTCTGACTCTGGTTCCTCTTGCTCCTCAACCTCCACCAGGGGGCTGATGCCAGTCTGCACATCCTCAGGCTCCAATTGTTCTTCAACGGCTTCTTCATAGTTTGTGGTGATATTTGTATCTGAAGGTGGAGCTGACATGGCTGAAGGTTCCTCTAGTTCCTCTACCTCTTCTTCGACAAGCACAGCCTTGGCAGTGAAGTCCACTTCTGGCTTTGGTTCACACAGGATTCGAGAGCTGGTTACAAGCTCTGGAGAGAAGAAATTGTCAAGATGAGTCAATCTATAAGACCACTTAGACCTTTACTGTTGTTACAGAAACCCAAGTTAACTTACCCATAGTGTGCAGTGGGTCTTCTGTGAGTGAAGCTGGAGGACATTCTGTTGCGACAGCAAGTTCTTCACTGCTGTCATAGTTGCAAGACTCAGATTTATCTGGACAATCCAGCAGCTTTGGAGATGCAGGGGAAGCTGAATCGTGGACTGGGGCTTGAGGAGGTGGCCGGTGGAGTGGAGGGGCTCTGGAGACAGGCAGACTGGGTAGAGGTGATACAGGTGGGACAGAGCGTGGGGGAGGTGATGTGGGAGGAGATGTTTGAGGGCGCTGTGGTGAGGGGATCGTCCGGTACGGTGGACTAAGTGGGGACGCTGGACATTTGGAGGATGTGGATGGGCTGCGTGAGAACGGAGACCTGGCAGACGGACTGAGAGGGGATGTGGGACCAGAAGTGGAATTGGCCCTTTCAAAGATGAAGGCTGTGTCTGTCAAACTGCGTTGGTAGCGACGGAATGGAGATTTGCCTAAGCACCAGAACATAAACTTAAGTCGAACAGACCTCAAGTGAATACAATAAACACTGGAAACTGATAACGTTTTAAAGGGCTTCTGAAGGTCATGTTTACCTGAACGTGGTGAACCAGGGCTTGAAGAATTTTGCGAGGTTGCCGATAACTGCCTGAAAAACTCTCTGGGATTGATGGTGCGCTGGGAAACAAGTGCTGCTGCCTCCTACAGGCCAAAAGAAGAGGCATCATTCAATCTAGCAAAAATGTGGTAGTATTGATAAAGGAATAGCCATGAAGGGGATGTAAAGCAGTGGGTCTCAACTGGTTTTGCTTCAGGACACTGATTTCACAATAGACATAAATTGGTGACTCAACCAAAATTCTTTTGAATGCAAATGTAAGCAAAATGTCCTTATAATCAAACACTGCAATGTATTAATATTACCATGCACTAAAGAGGCAACATTCACCTATGTAAAACTATCAATATCATGAAGAAAAAATGTAACAAGTTGAATTGGTTTCATGTTTTACACTAGTTCAAGCCAGTAATTCAAAGCACAAATCACTTTGTGTTCAGCATTAAATCATATTTATTCTTGTTGCCAGTTAATGTGTAATACTTTCTTTTACATTTCTTTTATCTTGCACAAAATACCATCAAGTTTGATAAGACAGTTTTTTATTACAACAATGCCTGATTATATGGTTAGTTGAAAGTTATTTTTTATTTTCCCTCTGAAAACCACTGCATTAAAGTATATTATAGCAGGAATAAAAAACAAGCCAAGCCAACAAAACAGTGTTTGAAACTCATGATCTTACTGACCGTAACAAATTCAGTGTATTAATTCTAGTGTAGTAAATGTAGTCATGTGCAGGGTCTAGACTAGATTTACTTTGGGTTGTACTGGCTGGATCTGGATTATTCCTAAAATAGGGGGAAAAACTCACTGCTGCTTTCTCAATGGACTCGCTGCGTCTGAGCCGGGCCCTCATGTCCTCCTCATGCTCCCTCTGCTGCTGCTCCTGTCAATTACACAAAGAAGCCAATATCGTTACCGGTTATGACTCCATATGATCATTTAACCACAACATGTTGAAAAGCTTACAACTTCTCAGTAAAAGAAACTGAATACACTCATTAATAAATTCACCCATCTCGCGTTTTCCTCTTTTTTAGCCTCTTTCTCAAGCTGAGCCTGGATCCTTCTGCGAAAAAACAACAGGAAGTTTAAGCTGAAATACTGTAATTAAATCACCTTCAGACAGAAGTGGGTTTTATCAGGTGGATGTTACAAACCTTTGTTCTTCAAACATCTCTAGCTTTTCGGTCATCTTTCTGTCTCTCTCTTCAGCCTCTTTTTTTTCCAGTAGAATTCGTTCTCTCTCCCAGCGCCGTCGGTCTTCTACAGCCCTCCGACGTACTTCCTCCTTTCTCTCCTCCTCCTCACGCTAACACACACATCAGATTTATGATGAACTACATCTGAATAGCACTATTAATAACTGCAGTCTGAACAAGAGGTCTGTAACTTTGTAGGTTATACCTGATTATAAATTATTACTACAAATTAGTACACAGATACTTTGATTCTGGTCAACTGTAAATATTAAATATGAATCTAATATTTTTGTATAACGGCTGGTTGATTGTACATTATCTCTTACATGGCTGGCATATTTTTATATCATTATATTTTTTCTGCAGCATTTTGGGGAACACACATACAGATACTTTGATTCTGGTCAACTGTAAATATTAAATATGAATCTAATATTTTTGTATAACGGCTGGTTGATTGTACATTATCTCTTACATGGCTGGCATATTTTTATATCATTATTTGACATTTTTCTGCAGCATTTTGGGGAACACACAGGCTGTTAAGTGAAAATCCAGCTGCAAACACAGTTCAGCTGTACCTCTGCTCGTGCCCAGAAGGAGTCTCTGTTAATCCGTCTCATCTCCATGGCAGCATTTGTCTTCTTGTAGTTTGTACCCTGTGGGTGTGGCACAGAAATGCAACAAAAGACCCAAAACATCAGTGAGAGACAATTAGACCACTTAACCATGTGTATCAATAAATTCTAGTGAGAAACAGACTTCTTCTACGATATTTTAATTAAGGAAGCTCTTGTGCACAGCCAAGTCTGTGTTTTTTTTGTGGTAACTTACCACAGTCTCCTCCTTATCCATCGTCCTTGAGGTTCTCCTCAGCCTCTCCATTGGTGGTCGAATCTTTGCAAAAGCAGCCGTAATCAGCTCCTCTGTCACCTCATCTTGCTCTGAGGCTGTAATAAATACTTGAGCTTCCTGTAGTGACATCAACATCAAACATCAAGAGAGAAAAAATTCTGACCACATCGTTGAAGCTGCTCCATATGAACACATTTTTCAACACAGCAATTTTAGATAAGTTTGTTTCTCATCGCATCGGCTGTTTTATTGCATTTTTATTAAGGACTGAATATTATTCTGATAATATTGTGCACAACAATTTGACTTTATTTGTGGTGTCTGTGACGACAATAAATAAAGAGCTAAGACAATTTTTTTCATGACCAACATGTGTACAAGATACAGAGCGCATCAGCTTTTGTACTGGAAAAAGTTAGAAAGCGATTCACACTAGTCTCATATTTTAGTCTTGTTGCTATACTTTCGGAACTGTGTTGTATTTACTGAGTAAATTTAATATTTAATGTAGCAAGCAAGACGAAACAAACAAAAAAAAACCACATTATTTGCTACTAATTTTCATTAACATTTACCTTATACGGTTAAAAACAACTGTAAATATAAACATTATTTATTCAAATAATGAAAAATTCAAACAATTTTAAAAAATTGTGAGAACTCAATTTGTAATAGAGAGAACAGACAAAGGGTCTGAATTATTTTCTGTTGTACATCAGATGCAGGATGTAAGAATGTATAAGCATGTCTTCATACTACATTTTCCCTTATAAGGCATTTTCCTGTCATCGGCTTCCATCTACAGCTCTGGGGTCAATCAGCTGAAGATCCACTGAGGATTTATATTACAGGATACCACAATTAATGACTGCTCAACAAAACACCTCAGATCACAGTGAATCTAGTGTAAGATAGAGCGATCTGGCTTGTGGGAGAGCAATGCAACTGAGACATTGTACCAGAGGGCCTCGTGAGTGCCGGATTGGGCTCCAACCCAAAAAACCCCACAGCTTTTCTATGGATTACCATACCGCTACATTCAGCCCTCTTTCCACATTTCTCTGACATGCACAAGAGCTTGAACAAGTCAGGACCAATTTGTTTACTCATTGCTTTTTCTGTGACTGGAAAGACTTTATCTACAGAACATTAGGTTCAAATTGAGCTAATTTTCTCCTCCTTTCTTTTATCTCTTCTATCCCTTTTTCTGCTTGGGAGGAGTTAAATGACTTAATTCTCTGTTATTACTTGCTTTAGATGAGCCCCTTGACATGTAGTTAGCCCCAGGGCTTCAGCGGTGATGACAGTATTAACAGCACTGAGGACAGATGCTCTCCCATACACACCTCACGCCTGCAGCTCACTGTCTCACTATACCGATATCTCATCTCAGATCACACTGGGAACATTTTTTTTGTAAGAAATTCATGTTTTTATTTCATTAAGGATGAATTCAAATGATCAAAAGTGACAGTCAAGACATTTATAATATAACAAAAGATTTCTATTTCAAATAAATGCTGTTCTGTCATGGCAACTCTCGGAGGGATTGGTATGGTAATGTACATGACAATGTTAATGTATTTGGTCTTGGCGGAATAGATCTGCTACGCTGCTGCTGCTGCTGCTGCTGCGGCAGAGCAAGTACCGAGACTAGTTACTGCCAATACATCCACAACATGCTGCTGTGAGCATGTAAGAAATATTGCTGCTGCAAATATAACATACATGAAATAACCCCATATAGCATACATGAATCACCTCGTAGCAGATCTATACAGGTGGAGCTGGGGAAGGTGGAGCGTTTCTTTTGAACTTTATATTTATCAAAGTATCCTGCAAAAAATGTATCACTGTTTGCACAAAAATATTAAGAAGCACACCTGTTTTCAACATTGATAATAAGAAATGTTTCTTGAGCAGCAAATCAGCATATTAGAATGATTTCTGAAAGATTATGTGACACTGAAGAAGACTGGAGTAATGATGCTGAATATTCAGCTTCGTCATCACAGGAATAAACGACATTTGATATATAAACAGTTATTTTAAATTGTAATAATATTTCACAATGTTACTGTTTTTATCATCAAATAAATGCAGCCTTGGTGAACATAAGAGACTTTAAAAAAAAAAAAAAACTTTTGAATGGATTATAGATAATATTTTTAGAAATTATTTTATCAAATCAAACTCAAAATCTTTTGAAGTTTACCACATACCCCTGGATGGGAATCACAAGCCTTAGAAATATTTATCTTATAGTCTTGATTTGTGTCATTCATAAACCACTGTGAAACTTTTGGGATTAATGGTCATCATCGATGACTAATGCATATTAAACATCTACCCTGATGGCTCATTTACCAAATTTTATTTGATTTTTTTGGAAGCACTAAAGAGCTGACTAGTCATTATGCACACATCACAGCCCTTACTAGCACAGACTCGTCATGAAGAGACAATACAAATTGTGAGTGATAAATGGAGAAAGCAGGGAGGAGTAACTGGAGGGATTTAGACTGCATTGTGGCTCATCTTGTTACTGATACTCTGAAGGCACATCTCAGAAGCCAAGACGTACACTATGATAAATGAGTTTGGATTTTACATTTGGTTTAGTTCCCCATGACTGAAAGTCTTTGGAGACTAGGCCTGGACTAGAGAGCAGGAAAACACAAACTGGGTGTTGTTGCTTTTAATAATTACTTCAAGGGATAATTCACCCAAAAATGAATATTCTGTGTATCATTTACACACCCTCATATCATTCTAAACCTGTATGACTTTCTTTAGCGAAACATAAAAAGATATTTTAAAGGATGTTTCAGTGTTTTGTCCACACAATGAGAAAATACATGTTTGAACAGTACTGTTTTGTGTGAACTATCCCTTTTAGCAATCATTAAAATATCTGCCAGCCTAATTAAAAGATAAAAGAGGACATGCAAGAGGACAAAGGTTTTGCACGTTTGTCACTGACTATGGCTTTGTCATACGCTGGAGATTTCGCAGATCCCTCAATCCAAATTTAGAAGGCGTTATCATTAATTTAGAGGAATGTTGAGAGAATGCTGTAAATGCGTCTGACAGCTTGTCTCCGGCTGTCTGATTTTATGGCTATAACGGGGTCCGGTCCCATACAGTATGTGCTCCAGTTGGTTTGGGGGCTCAGCCTCTCCCACGCTATAAAACTTAATTTCTGACCTTACGTAACCTAACAAAGTTCATCTGCTTGAACAACCATCAATCAACACAAAAATAACCCAACAAGATTTAAATCCGAATGGAAATATAATAAAAGACACTTTTGTAACCCACTCATGCTGACATTTATCACACACAAACACACATTGTGGATGAACGACACAATACAAGGTCATAAAGGATGTCGATCTCAAAAGAGAGAGAAACACTGAGAATTGAATAAACAGCATTCTTGGCATGCCTGTGAAGCCGACTGGGCAATGTCTTTATAAGGCATTTTTAACTACTGTATGTCTGACCATCTCATACAACCATCTGAAAAATATGGTAATGTTAAAGCAACATCACCTGGCTGGTGGAGTAAATAAATCCACAGACAGCTTCAAGAGGCAAGCACTTATATCACAAGATATATAAAACTTCCTAAATGCTAACGTTCCTCAAAACAAAAGCACCTTGTCCATTCCTTGGGAATTTCTCTCTCTCTTTAATTTCTGCTCTTCTCAGTCTGTGTGGTGCCTGTCAGTGGCACTGCTCGGCTGTTCAGGAGAACAATAGGACGTGTCACGAGAGGAAAACTTTACTACAATAAGAGCTGGCACCAAGCTGCTAGCCATCACTTCACAGATACTAGCAAAGGAAGGAAACCATTTACAAGAGGGAAATGTCAGAATATATCAGAGGAGTGCATTTGTACACATATTAGGAGGGCTTATGGTTTCAGAATTGTGTGTGAGAGCCTTTTTTACATACTCCACCCATTCATTCAAATAGACACAAAACATTTTTCCCTTAACCTTTTAATGACTCCTCACCATTCGGTAGAGCATTTTGAGTTAAGAAAATCCTGTTTAAAAACACTGCACTCAACTCAATCTGACTGATCATTTGGATTTTGTATGTACATAAAAAGAGGCCAAAGTAAAATGAAATGTGAACTTAAACCTAAATAATAAAAAGAATTGGATGTATATGCGCACATGTTTGGGGGTGGGGGTGTGCCAATAAAATGGTTAAGTCTGTATGTTCAGGAAAAGTAGCAATTGTAAGGTAAGAGAGATAAAATCATATGCACCATTTAAACCAGAAAGCATGAACTGTGATATCAGAGGCTCTGACTAGACACGTCTAACAATCTTAATCTGAAATTCTTCTAGCATGTTTCTCAATTGTAACTATCCAAACAATAATAAAACTAATTGCTGCACAACCTGTGTATGTTTATGATGGCATCCCCTACAAGATTCATTCTCTATGTCTTCTATTCAGCTTTAGGTGACGTTCCTTCACAGGGACATGAAGAGAGAGAGAGTGCAGACGCCTTACAGAAAGGATGCAGAACATTCTAGAGCCATACAAACACAGGAAGTACATGTATACAAGAATGGGATGAATGTATGCATGAGGGAGCGATTTTACTCACTCCGCATCTGAATGCTTCCAAATGTAGCTGCAGCAGTATATACTATATGATTAATGAAGGTTTAAACCAGCACACTATTAAAATACCTTGCATTCTGAAATACAATGCAATTATGAAAGTTTAAAGAGCTTGATTTATGAAAGATGTCAAAAGAATCATCCAAACAAGTAAAGTAACCTGCTGATTATAGTGCTGTCATTATACAAACTTTGCTCAGGAACTCTATTATGTGAAAGCAGAAGATACACGGAGAGCTAGTCATTGGCAATGTTTTTTTGTTTTTTTTTCACCTTGAAGAAGGTCTTGATGGCAGGCACATGGCTGACACATTCAGTTCTGCGGTGCTCATCCACATTATTGCCAACCTGTTTGATGTAGACAGAAGAGATTGTGTGAGAAGTGAAGAGAAGTGACAGTTCCATTATATTTAAGAGACCTAAGCTTTCAAATAAACATCAAAATATAAACCCACAAGCTATATGACATAATGTAGTGACACCTTTAAATATCCTCAAGACTCTTCCATTCAAAAGTTTGGGATTGGTAAGATTTTTTTATGTTTTTGAAAGAAATCTCTTATGCTCTTATGCTCTTATGCTCTCAATGTTGAAAACAGATGTGCTGCTTAATATTTTTCAGGATTTTTGATGAATAGAAAGTATAAAAGAATAACATTTATTTGAAATAGATTTTTTTGTAATGTTACAAAAATGCTTTATTGTCACTTTTGATCAATTAGATGCATCCTTGCTGTATAAAAGCATAATTTTCTTTCAGATAGATCAACAATGAAATACAATGAATTAAAATCTATTTTAAACCTGTAACAAACTATTCTTCTGTTGCATCTAGACCTTCTGCAATCATCATCAGAGGTGTATACTCTGTGTGTGTGTGTGTGTGTGTGTGAGTGTGTGAGCCCCAGTATAATTCACAAGTAAGTCTCTTGCAGTTAACAGGTCACAGAGACCACTCCCCCCTCCTCTATACAATGCCTGACTGGCTACAGATGGCACCTCTGACCCCAACCACAACATTCCCACTTATCGCCTTGGCAGCCAGATCCACGATGGATATTAGGAAGGTTCCCAGAATGCTTCTTTGCATCTGTATTTGAGCTCCTTCAGCTACAAGTCTGAAGGTCAAAGCCCTTTTGTGAAGTGAAGCCATTGACACGTCTCATCAACAGGAGCCTCACATCCATCGCTTAAACACGGACTGTTTAATGATGTGGCAGCTCCAACCAATGAGGAACCACTTCAGGCTCACACCCCATGGCAACAACCAATAGGAGCTAGGTATAAACGTCTGACATCCAATCAGAACAAGGCAAAATGACCTCATCCAGAACATATTTTCTTTTGGGGTGCTACAAATGTTTAAAGCACCCCAAAAGAAGGGAAAGACAGACATTCGATCTAAAGTTTAGGATCCTGTTTATTTGCAGTTTGTGTAAAGACCCGAGAGAACTCAGACGCTACATTTTAGTGTAGTATGTTTGCATACATTTGCTATGGCTGATATAAACTGATATAAACATACACATTCTGCTTGTGAACTTACCCAGCAGACCATGACAATCTGTGGTTGTCCTGTTTCTGTCAGTCCCACCCTGCAGAGGCCATACATTGGCCTGCTGCTGTGAAATTTCCCAACCAATTCTGTCAAACCTCCAGCTGGCAGATGACAGAGAGAAATAAAGGGGGAAGAGAAGGACAAAATTAAAGAGGTCCAAACTGTCTTCATGAAATAATGGCCACATGAAAGTAAATGCCTCAGCCACTATGAAACACTTGCATTCTTTTCCCAGATTATAATGATAATCTCCAGAGTACAGGACGGGTCTGATGTAATAAGCAGAGCTGGTCTTTCTCCTACACTCAAGTGAGATTTTTCTGCTTCGTCTGATATTAAGAGGAACAGTGTTGGCAGTCTGAGCTTTAATTGGTAATCCTCTCTGATTTAGAAGCGTTTCACACATCAATGTTGCATGATTGCCCTCAGACTGAGCTTTTCAACTGCCTCAAATAGAGCGCAACAATGACTGCCCACATTTTACGTGACCTTGGTTCTGGAAGTATTTTTTTCCATTCATTTTCTCCACAGGCATTTCAGAAACTCAGAGCTGTGGTGCAGTGGGCCATGCACATGCACAGGACATTATATAGGAGCTGCTGGCCCGTGGGGACAAGTCTGGGTACATGTCCGGCCTGTGTCATGTCCCACTCCCCTTCTCTCATTCCTACATCCCTGTCTACACTTCTGTCCTATAAATATAGGCAAATAATCCCAAATATTATGGAGGAAAAAATGTCCAAGTATGATTTATGTCTTTTTATGCATGAACTACTGATCTTAGACAAAATACTGGCTCTCCATACTTTTTGACTGATGAATTTCCATGACTGTTGTTGTTCATAATCACAAGATAGAAACTTTTAGAATTTTTTTTATGACAATTGCATTCACAAAGAGCAAATTCTCAAAATATTTTAGAGCTGAGCATTTATATTCAATGGAAATTTATGTAACCTTTATAATTTGTAAAACTGGCTTTAATATTTGATTAATTTCCTTCACTTTTCCAAACCTAAAATAATTGTAAAATGTCCAGCTTTTCCATGGCTGTGAGAAGACTGATGATAAAACTATAGATAATATTCTACTAGATTAAACTATAGATATACTAAAACAATAAGCCAGTGATTATATAAAAAGCTATACAATTATTATAAAATATTCAAACATAAAAGTATATTTGAATCAACTTTATTATGTCATTCACAATCCTTTATAAGAGTGGATGGACACTGTTGAGCTCTTTGCTGTTATTCCTGTTCCTCTATCCATGGCTGACTTTCTTAAATTAGTGAAATTTTACAATAATGGGTAGTGTAGTTCTTCACAGGAAATTCTGCAACTAAACCAGTTGAAATCACACTGACTTACTGAGAAAATAAATGGAATTCCAAACCCCTTCTCCTTTGCTTTATTGATCATTGGTAAAAAAAAAAATAGACACAAAAAAGAAATTGGAGGAAAGGTTAGCAGTCTCACCTCCTGAATCTGTGAGTTTGAGATTGTTGGTCACACCCTCATATGTAAATAAAGCCCTGAAAAAGACAGAGAGAAATACATCAGTATGTTACACTGGAGGAAAACACAGCAGTGCGCACTGTAGAAACTAGTGACAGAGTTAAGTTACACGATTTGTTGAAAGTCGCTTGTAACATAATATCCTGAACCAGACTATATCAAGTGCTGATACCATTTCAAAATGAGGCAAGTAAAAAGTCAATATATCAATCGTGATCCTTGACCTTTCACAGTATGAAACAAATCACAGCTCTTCCACATCCAAACATAATCAACGCCACATCCTCGCTCACGTCATCTTAAAATGCAGTAAGTTGGCTTGGGTGTGAGGACCATGTGTGCATTGTCCATGTGTTTATCCTACACGTTCACACCATCCCAGAATGCTCCACATATTGGACATGTATTATGCATACCAAGCACTGACCTCAGTAAACCTAGCAGGCCTTTCTCTGGAGTAATGCATATACCAAATGTTCTCACAGAAGAGCTGACCTGAGTCATCTCTATCGCTCTTCCTTTATTATTGCTCTTGCTGTTTAGTTTCCTGATTTTTCAGCGAAAGTCCCTCAAATCTGCTTCAATCAGAGGCAATGCCCGCTGTCATTGCCTATGACTTTTTTTTTTTCTTCTGAAGAGGTTGACAGGTGTTCTAGACTCACTGACCAGCTGAATGAAAAACACTTCACTTACCGTAATAATCATAAGCATGCACACTATTTTCGTTGATGGGAGTTCAGCATGCAGTGTCACGTTTTTTTAATTCAATTAATTAATAGAATTAAAAATTAATTAATAATTAATTAGATGCAATTTTAACATTTAATGAATGTATTTTGAATAGTTACTTTTAAAGAGCCCGTCTCTAGATGGAATTTTCTGTTGCATTCATTCATTATCCATCATTGGTGTCACCTCAGAGAACTGGTGTACATGTATAATAGTAGCAATATGTATTATAGTGTTATGTTCTAGTGCTTAATTACAACAATTAATTAGAAACAACCCAACAAATTCTTTAAACATCTTACTTTTGGGGATTTAAGACAAGTTGGAGGTTATCCTAACTTTAAGATGCTATTTACAATGACTTCTAAGAGGATTCTAAGCAAGAATTTGAATTCTTCTTCAGCTTTTTAGAAAAAAAGATAAGACATTTTTAAGAAGAAGAATTTTAAAGTAAGAAATGAAAAAGAAAATAGCAATTAAGAAGGATTTTATTCTTAAGAATGTTTCATGAATCTGACCCCTGGACCCCTGGTTTTTCACCTCACTGAAGAGGGAAAAAAATCCAAGTCTCAGATAAGCCATTTTCTATCAATGTGAGATTCTAGTCCCAAGAATATACAGTTTCAATATTACGAAAAAAGCCCCGGTTTACTGTTGTGTACTGTTGTGCGTCAGGTGCAAATAATGGGCTTGAGTCTGTAAATCTCTCAGTTGGCTTACTGTTGAACTTGCTGTGGCAGGTACACCACAGCTGCCATTATTAACAGGTTAATCTCTGGGAAAACGCTTGGTTTGTTCCAACAGTTAGTCAATGTAAAAGGTCAAGTAAATCCTATAATACTATATAATAACAGCCTGACTCATGGATCAAACTTGTCCAGTAAGAGCTGGGCACTTTTAATCATTTCTCATGCATCCCTCACTTCCATAAAACATTTATTACGTGAGGGCCTGAAGTTCATTTCTAAAAACTCCTCCCTTAGATGCCACATATGGATTATTTATTCACTTGTGGAGGGGTATAAATAATATGTTTTTATAATATAAATAGTAAATACTATAAATATATAATTTAAACATTAATTGCTTATATATTCAAAGTTTTAATGTTTTGATACTAATTTCAGGACAGATTCAATGTGCAATAATAAATATGTTGTCGAACATTTTAAAAAGTTAAGTATTAGTATTAATATTAACCATTTACATTTAATTGAGAAATACTTGATGGCTATTGTCATTGTCATTGTTTTAAGTAGATATTTAATTTTAAACTTCAAAGTAAAGTTTGAAAAAAATCAAATGTTTACAAGTACACCATTATTCATTTTTTCAGTTATCTAACAATTGTATATAGTCTTCATTGCATGATAATTACTAATATATTCATTCAAACTCATTCTAAATTACAATGAGATATAATTACGTATTACAAGATGTTTGTATATCAAAAAAGGGACTTCCATTTTTTTTTTAATTCTCAATAGATAGGAATTGATGAGAATCTTCAACAGAAGTTAAGCAAATATGCAAAAATGTGCTTCTTTAAAAATACAAAAGGTAGTGCACATTCACATTAAACTCATTACGCATCCAACGAGCAGACTACAATTGTGCAAAACAACAATCCTGTGCCGAAATTCAGGCTAAATGAATTTGATCTAGCTATGTGTAGTTCATGTATAGTTCAACACCTTATACAGAGAATTCCCTCACTCTGTCCCCTGGAATTTACACTGAATGAGTATAATCTACACCAGCCTGTCGTCATCATGTCTCTATTGTCTCCAAAGCTTCTGATCTCTGGAAGCCTCCCAGATTGTAACCTCTGGGCTTTTGACTCAGAGCTCAGACACAAGCAACAATAACAGCCTGTTTCGCCTCATCAGAGTCTGTGTTCAGCCAAACCAACCTACCAATCAGTCTGCAATTAGCAAGTTGTGACACCATTGTTCCGGATCCTTCCACCAGTATGGGAATAAAAAGGACGACAGAATGAGAGTAAAGGGGGATCAGAGATGTGCTTATACCAGCTGTCTGTAAGGTAACAAGACACAAGCATATCTTGAAGTGGGGGGGTTGTTAACACAGATGGTAGTAAAAGGTTTCTTTCCTAAATCTTCTGCTATATGCTGGAGTTGACAGACATTTTTGTCCTCAGTGGGTGTGGCCTTGCCAAACAGTTAAAATGAGGAGTGTTTACAAGAGAGGAGGTTTGTAGGCTAATAAAGCCTGTTCTGCAATTAATCCAGCTAGAATCAATTCCAATTAAGCAAGAAAAATGAGTAAGCTCATAATGACAGCTAGTACTTAGGTCAAACAACACTACAAAATTATGCTTCAGTGCATTACGACAAACAAATATGCATTTCATTTAGCAGCACGATTCCAGCGCACGCACAAGCCCTTTGTATATCTGGTCACTTTAAAAGCATGTTGTCTTGTGGCTAATTGGTTCATCTAAGGGTCAAATCACATCATGCTGCAATCAATGTGTTTTAAACATGCAGTTCCAATGAAATGGCATGGTATATAAGTGTATTTATCTACACGGTAAGGACCACACTCATTCCCATTGACATAGTAAATGAGCAAAAAGAGTCAGCACTTTACTCACTCCATGGCATCTATGACGTACCCTGGTGAGCTAGAGTACACATGCAGCTACAGTTGTTTTGCATAAACTGAAAGGAGGACTTTTGTTCTCTGCATTTACTCTCCGTCTTTCACTTTTCATACGAATTGGTCTCAAAAATCCCACGTACTTGCATGAAATTGTAGTCATTCGTTGACAATGGGGAGAATTCACTAAACTATTGTACTTTTGTAAACCTTTTCTCCACTTTTGTACATAGTTTTTCAGTGCAAAAGTCTGTCTTATCAGCATGAAATGGAAGTTGCAATCATCTTTTCTTCCCTCTTGTGATGTAAATCTAAGTGAAACGGCTTCTTGAATGAGAAAAAATATAGGATGAGACTTGATTTTGTTAATTGAAATGCCATTTGAGTGAAAGGTTGCAAGGGCAAATGAACTAAAAAAAACAATGTACACATAAATAATTTATAATAAACACTGCAATATTATATAAAAATTAAAAAAAGTATGAAAAAGATTGATTTTTTGGTGACTTTAAACAGGTCATGGATTCGATTCCCAGGAAATGCAAGTCATGTTGAATAAAGTGTCTGCCAAATGCATTAAATGTGGTTTACAAATTACATATTTTCTTGATTCATTTCACACCAGATAACAGATGCACATTTGAATGCACATCAAATGTGGAAGTTACACAACACAACACAGTGTGGTTTTATATCATATGAACACCCAACCAAACTCCAAAAAACGAAAAATCCTGTAGGACTAGACTGAATTGAACTGGACTTTATTTAAAATAGCTTGTCAGTAAAACACTAAAAACAAAGCTGAGAAATCCAGGGGGACCAACATGCAACTGAGAGCAAGAACTGACTGCAAGAACAATGTGTAATTAATAGTGTGGCCTGACTGTATACTAAAAAAACGAATTCAGCTTAAAAAACACTTCACAATGTACCTTAATATATTTCTTGAAATCAAACCTAACGCTGCACTAGACATTTCCTGGAGAGTGGAGAGAGGTGTTGTCTGGTAGTCGTCTGGATTGTCCTCACCTCACACACACACACACACTTCCTGTGTCAAGAGTCTGATGAGAAAAACACAAGCAGTCCTGTTCTGCAGTCCAGCCAGCTATTAGCTCAAGAACAGAGAATGAGGAATAGAGGGAGAAAGACAGAAATACAGGCCATAAACAAATGAGGGTGGGCGAGGTTTGGACAGGCAGCACAAAGGAGAAAGGAAAGAGAGGAAACATTGGAAGGATGTTTTAAGATGGAGTGATTTATGTGGGTGTTTGTGCCGCAATTTAAACAATAAAAAAATGCTTAAAAATAAATGTAAATGTACACTACAGTTCAAAATTTTTAATGAGGTGAGATTAAAAAAAAAGAAAAAAAAAGAAACTAAAACTTTTATTCAGAAAGGATGCATTAATTTGGTAAAAGTGAAAGTAAAGACATTACTACTTGTTACAAAAGATTTCCATTTCAAATAAACGCTGCTCTTTTTATTCATCAACAAATCCGGAAAAAATACGTATCACAGTTTCTACAAAATTATTAAGCAGCAGCAACATTGATAATAACAAGAAATGTTTCTTACACAGCAAATCAGCCTATTCAAATGATATCTGAAGAATCATAAGACACTGAAGACTGGAGTAATGACTGCTGAAAATTCAGCTTT